CCACTACCACTACTACTACTACCACCACCACACTACTATACTACTCTACTACTACTACTACTACTACTACTACTACTACTACTACTACACTACTACTACTACTACTACTACTACTACTACTACTACTACTACTACTACTACTACTACTACTACTACTACTACTACTACGACTACTACTGCTACTACTGCTACTACTACGTGCTATAAGTAATCCAGCTACACAATATCAAGTCTTATTATTATTTCTACTACAATTATTACTTCTTTTTCTTCCACTACTACTACTGCTGCTGTTACTACTACCGCTACTACTACTATTACAACTACTATTACTACTCCTACTACTACTACTACTACTATTACTACTACTACTACTACTACTACTATTACTACTACTACTCCTACTACTACTACTACTCCTACTACTACTACTACTACTACTACTACTACTACTACTACTACTACTACTACTACTACCACGACTACGACGACTACGACTACGACTACGACTACGACTACGACTACGACTACGACTACGACTACGACTTCGACTTCGACTACTACTAGTACGACCACTACCACTACCACTACCACTACCGCTACCACTACCACGTACTATAATGTACACTTCGGTATGTTTAACGTAGTGCGTACTGCGCGCTACGGCGAGAGCCACATTTTGAAAACCACCCTCCCTCAATCCGTGAAGCTCTTGCAAATGTGTCAAATAATGTGCGCCCCGCCAAGGCGAGAGCCACATTTTGAAAAACACCCGCCCTCCATCCGTGAAACCCTTGTGAGTTTTTAAGGCGAGTGTGCGCCGCGCTAAGGCGAGAGTCACCTTTTGAGAGCCACCCGCCCTCCATCCGTGAAGCCCATGTAACCTTCTAAGACGAATGTGCGTCGTGTCAAAGCGAGAGCCACATGCTGAAAATTACCCGCCGCCCATCTGTAACACTGCTGCCAATGTTGAAGTTTCAGAGTCACAAGTCGTGAGGGTGTCTCACGCGAAACGCCCGGCCTGCCCTAAAAACTTGCCTCGGGGTGCGACAGGGAGAAATTATTCACAAGGAAAAGGAGTGGAGGAGGAGGAGGAGGAGGAGGACGAGGGGGAGGAGGAGGAGGAGGAGGAGGAGGAGGAGGAGGAGGAGGAGGAGGAGGAGGAGGAGGAGGAGGAGGAGAGGGAGGAGGAAAGGGAGGAGGAGGAGGAGGAGGAGGAAAGGGAGGAGGAGGACGAGGAGGCCTGGCCCCCCCGCGAGGGCGCGAAGTTATTTGCGATTCGTGGTTCGCGGTCTGTGCCCACGACGGCGGTTCGGGCTCCACCCGGGGTGGCGGCGCGAGAGCGCAAAGGTTTTCGCTCTTCGCGCTTCGCGCAGCGCGAAATGCGAACTTTGGAGCCCAACAAGCCCTCCCTCCAAGTTCCTTCTTCAGAGGTCCCTACAAGGAGTTATCTTCGCTGCGGAGAGTGCCCCGATGGAAGACAAACGATTGAAAATCGTCAACCATGCCCACCGTTCCTGGGACTTCAACATTGCGATTCAACGGTAGGATGCGTCTTGACGATTATGAATCGTGCCACGACACAATTTCTTAGACTTCAACACCACAAGTCCACGTGACGGTCGCGCCCTGACCATCTTAAGCCGTGCCCAAACATTATTTCTCGGACGTCTGCTGTGATAATCCTTGAACATCTTGTGCGATGTGAAGACGAATGCGCGCGGCGCTAAGGCGAGAGCTGCATTTTGAAAACGAATCGCCCTCCATCCGTGAAGCTCTTGCAAACTGGTAGGACGAATATGCGCGGCGCTAAGGCGATATACGCATAATGAATACGACCCGCCCTCCATCCGCGAAGCCCTTGCAAACTTTTGAGACAAATGCGCGCGACGCCGAGGCGGGAGCCACAGTTTGAAAACCAGTCGCCCTCCACACGTGGAGGCCTAGCTGTTTTTCAGTTGCAGGATCGTGCGCATGGTACAGTGCCGTTTTAGATACATGCTCCGCGCGCGGATCCTGGATTGAACATGCAGGGATCTAGTTTCAAAAACAACGATGAGTCCATGCATAAACCTAATCATGTGTTGATCATGTACTTAAAATCCAATATGTTTAAAACTCCTGTGTATTAAGCACTGCCCTGTAAGGAAGTCTCAGGCGAAGCACCCGGCCCGCCCTGCCGACCCGCCTCGGGGTGCGACAGGGAGGAGCCTTTTTTCTGAGGAGGAGGGACGGAGGAGGAGCCCCCTCCTCTCCCCGGGTCCTTCCGCCCACCCCATCCCTCGCCCTTCTCGGCCTCATCCTCTACGTCCTCCTGCTCCTCCTCGTCCTTCCCAGCCTCGTCCTCCACATGCCCCTCCTCGTCCTTTCCACCATCACCCTCCACATCCTCTTCCCCGTCCGCCTCGTCCCTCTCCCTCCCCCCATCCCTCCCCCCTCCCTGCCTCCCTACCCCCCCCGCCCTCCTCCCTCCTTCTCCTCCCTCTCCCCCCGACGCCTGCGGCCGCGGCGAAACAAGACGGCCACGGCGGCGCCCGCGACGACGACGGCCTCCGACGACGCACGCGCCTGCCCTCCGACGACGCCCGACGGCGGCCGCGGCGCCGGCGGCCGCGGCAGCGGCGGCCAGGACCTACATCGACGGCGGCGGGGGGTGCATGAACCCCGCCACCGTGGCCGCCGCAGCGCGCCCCCTCTCGCTGCGGGCTCGCCCCGCGCGGCCGCGCGGCGCCGCCGCTCGGCCGCGGCCCCCACCCCCGCCCCGTGGCCGGCCAGAGCCGAGTTAGCCTCGGGGCGCCCCCGTGGGGGGGGGGGCCCACCGCGCCTCCTCGTCCACCACATCTCCTCCTCCTCGTCCAGCTTCTCCTCGTTGAGCTCCTCCTCGTTAAGCTCCTCCTCCTCCTCCTCCTCCTCTTCCTCCTCTTCCTCCTCGTTTTCCTCCTCCTCCTCCTCCTGTGAGCTGTGAGCTGATGGCGTGAAGTTCGGGTCCGATGTCGCCCTCCCTCCCTCCCTCCCTCCCTCCCTCCGTCCCTCCGTCCCTCCCCCTGTCCCTTCCTCCCTCCCTCCCCCCTCCCGGCCAGAGCAGAGCTTCCTTTCGCCATCCTCTGTGGTCAGCTCTTAAGGGTCAGCACCTCCCTCGGCCTCGGGCTCCCTGAAGTCGCGCTCCTCGACGGCTCCATTGGCCTGGCCACCCTTTCCTCTCCCGCCAGATCAGAGCTCTCCTCGAATGTGCCCCTTTCCTGCGCCACTGCGCCGCCCTCGCGTCGTTCGTCGTGGGCGGTTGTCGAAAGCGATTTCTCACCCCCACCCCCCGAGTCCCCCCCCGTTCCCCCCCCGTCCCGCCCATCCCACTCCCCCCCCACATAAGTCCCTCTGACGATGTACCCAACCACTGCGCAACGTGTGGCCAGAAGAGCTGGGAATAAACCACAGTGGTGATAACGTGGCAAGGACTTGTATTTGGTGCGAACGCGACTTGGGAGGCTCGCCGAGCTGCGCGACTCGCATGGCACCGATTGATGGACAAGGGCTTGATGGAGGTGATTCTTTATTGCCCTGGCTCGATTGGAACTGCCCAACTTCTCCCCCCCTAGCAGCTCTCGAAAGTTGCAGCACGTTCCCAGATCGCACCCCCCAATGGGAACGGCGAGGTCTAATTTAGGGCCGCGGCAGGTACCCACTATGCTGCCCCCCCCCCCCCCCCCCCGCAGCCCACGACTTGAGTCTGGGTAGGGCCGCCACTGTGCTGACCCCCCCCGCAAGCCCTCGAAAGTTGGGGCAGTTTCGCAGATCGCAGCCCCCCAAGGATGGCGAGGTCCAGTCTGAGTCTGGGTCGGGCCCACAATGTGCTGGCCCCCATCGGCAGCCGTCGAAACTTGCGACAGTTTCGCAGATCGCAGCCCCCAGTGATGTCGAGGTTTCATATGGGTCCGTGCATGGACCCAGCTCTACTAGGATCCTGTTAGAGCTCGGCACAGCCCTTTTCGGATCCTGTTAGAGCTGGACGCAGCTCTAATGCAATTTTGTTCGAACAGGATAGAGCTCTAGTATGATTCTGTTCGAGCTGGGTCCAGCTCTAGTAGGGGATTCTTTTAGAGGCGGACCCAGCGCTAGTAGGATGTTGCTAGAGCTGGGCCAGGCTCTAGTATGACCCTCTTAGAGTAGGACACTTCGAGCAGGACCCTATCAGAAGTGGACCCAGTTCTGCTTGTGACATATTAGAGGTGGACACAGCGTTAGTAGGTTCCTTTTTGAGCCGGGTCGAACGCCAGCAGGATGTCATTAGAGCAGGACCAGCTCTAGCAGGATCTTATGAGAAATGGACCGAGCTATGGACGGATCCTGCTAGAGCTGAACAGAGCGCTGGTATGACCCTGTTAGAGTTGGGCCGAGCTCTAGGAGGATTCCACTCGAGCTGGACCGAGCTCGGGTAGGATCCTGTTCGAGCTCGGCACGGCTCTATTAGGATCCTAACAGAGCTGGGCCCAGGTCTGATTGGATCCTGTTAGAGCTGGACCCAGCTTTATCAGGGTCCTATCAGAGCTGGACCCATCTCCAGCAGGATCCCATAGAGTTTGACCCAGCCCTTGCAGGATCTTTCAAGAGTTGGACCGAGTTCTAGTATGTTAGAGCTGGACGCAGTTCTAGTAGGTCCAGAGATCTGCACCGAGCTGTATTAGGATCAACAGTAGCTTTGGGCCAAGCTACAGTACGACCCTATTAGAGTTGGTTTCTGTGAAAGCTGGACTAAACTCGAGCAGGGGCCTATCAGAACTGGACCGATCTCTAGTCGGATCCCACTAGAGCTGGGCCGAGCTCCAGTCGAATCTTATACTCGAGCTGGGCCGAGCTTAGGTATGACACTGTCATAGCTGGACCGAACTCTACTGTGCTTCCACTAGAGCTGTACCGAGCTCTAGTGGGAGATTTTTTTAGAGCTGGGCCAAACTCCAGTAGGATCCTATTTGACCTTACTGTGCGCCGCTCTAGGAGGATCCCATTGAAGCTGGACCCAGCCCTGGTAGGTCCCTATTAGAGCTGTGCCGAACTCGAACATGACCCCATCGGAGCTGGATTGATCGCTAGTCGGAGCCCAACAGAGTTGGGCCGAGCCTTAGTATGACCCTTTTAGGGCAGGGCCCGTCTCTAATTGGATTTCATCAGAGCTGGACCGAGCTCAAGCGGGAGATCCTATTAGACTTGTGCCGGGATTTAGTTGGACCCTATTACATCTGGACCGAGCTCTAATCGTATCCCATTAGAGCTGCACCCAGCTCCAGCATGATCCCATTAGAGTTGGACCGAGTTCTAGTGGGACCCTAGCAGAGTCGGGCTGAGCTATTGTAGTCTTCCATTCAAGCTGGACAGATCTCTAGTAGGATCCCAGTAGAGCTGGGCCGAGCTCTAGAATGGTCCTACTGGAGCTGGGTCAATATGTAGGATTCCATTAAAGCTGGACCCATATTTAGTAGGGTCGTGTCAAAACTAGACAGCGCTCTCGTATGTTTTTGATATGTGTGCTGCAGGAGCTCGCGTCGCTGGTGCGCGCATCCATGGTGGGCCGGGCCCCACTGGGAGATTCCATGAGGGTCCTATTAGGAGATGGGTTGATCCCTAGTAGGGGATGCTACCCAGATCCCACAAGGACCTTATTCCAGGATTCTACTAGGATCCGATTGGAGCTGTGCCGAGCCTTCGGCTGGGCCGAGCTGTCGTAGGAGATTTTATTGGGGCTTGACCCAGCTCTAGTAGGTTTCAATTCGAACTAGGCTGGGCTTTAATAGGAGGTCATAGTAGAGCTGGTCCGTGCTCCACTAGGATCTTCTCTAGTTGGGCACAGCTCTAGTATGATGTCAGTCAAGTTGGACACAGCTCTAATATGATCCTATTCGGCTGGTCACACCTCTAGTACCATCCGAGTAGAATTTGGTTCAGCTCTTGTAAGATCCGATTCGAGCTTGACCCATTTCTATCAGGATTTCATTCGAGCTGGATAGAACTGTATTCTCATCACAGTATAAGGGGATTCAGTTCTAGCATGATACTGTTAGAGCCATGCCCAGCTCTACTGGGATCCCCGTCGCGCAGGATATCCAATCAGAGCTGGGCCGAGGTTCAATACGATATCCTCTTCGTGTTGGGCCTTGCTCTAGTAGGATCTTGTCAGAGTTGGACCAAGCTCCACTAGGGCCCTATTCGAATTATGCCGAACGTCAGGCAGACCCTATTAGATCTGGACCCAGTTCTAGTAGGACCCTGTAAGAGCTGGACCGAGTTCTACCAGTATTATATCAGAGCTGGGTCGAGCCCTTAGTAGGATATACTAGTATTGCTGCACCCAGTTCTAGTAGGATCCAATCTGAGGCGGACCCTGCTTTAGCAGGATTGATTAGAGCTGGACCCAGCTCTGGTGGGATCCTGTCGGACCAAGCTCTAGTAGGGTCAAGATAGAGCTTTGCCGAATTCTAGTAGGACCCTGCAGCTCTGGAGACATCCTATTGGGCACGGGCCCAGATCTAGCAGGATCCCAGTAGAGCCGGACCGAGCTTTAGTAAGCTCTTCCCATTAGAGCTGGACCCAGCCTCAGTAGGCTCTTATTAGAGCTGGACAGAACTCTAGTCGGATACCATGAGAGCTGTTCCGAGCCCTAGTAGGATGCCATTAGAGCTGGACCCAGCTCTAGCAGTATCCTGTTGGAAATGGCTCCAGCTTTAGTGGGACACCAGTCGGGCTGAGCGCAAGCAGCTCGAGGTGGATCTTGTTGCCGCGGACACAGCTCGCGGATATATTTGCAGGTATCATCTGAAGCCACGCGGGTATTTGGGCGAATGTGCGGGCAAAATACGGGGGGACCAGTGGATCAGTTCTCTGTTGGTTTGAGCTGGGACTCGGTGTAGGCAAGCCTCTTTGGAGAACGCTGGGATTTCAAAAGGGAGCTCCTGTATCACCCATGCACGGCAAATACCAGAGGGTGTGGCAGACATCCTTCGCCTCGAGCAGACGGCTGTGCGTTTTCTCAGTTTGGGCTTCTGTGGGTTCGTCTGGCTTCGGAACCGTCAAAAACCAATCCAGGATGAGCAGGTGCTCGGGCAGAAGGGGTCGAGGGCTCCAAGAATCTGCGTCGTGAAAAAAAAACGCCGCACGTCCAGCCATATGGAGAGGTCCCACGGTGCTCCTCCGTCTCGCGGTGGTCGTCTTCCTCCACCTCCTCTCCCGCCCTCTACCTCCACCGGTCTCCCTGCTCGCCTTTTCTCTCGTCTCCGTTCTCGCTTTTGCTCGTCGCTCCCGTACCTCCTCCTGCCCCCGCGCCCCTTCTCCAACTCCGCCCGGCCACCGAGGCGGTTGACTTTGCTGGGGCGAGGCGGAGGGTCCAGGAGCTCATAGACGGCACGAACGTGCGCGTGAAGGATCTCTCAGAGGCTGCTGGCGAGGAGGAGGAGGAGGAGGAGGAGGAGGAGGATGAGGACCAGTGTCAAACCCAAGACGCGTCAACAACGTTGCAGTCGACCCTCCCTTCAAACTCCCCCTTCGCCCGCAGGAAGTTGTTGTCACTGCGGGAAGTGTCTCCCTGGAGGACAGCCGTATGAGAATCCGTAATCGTGCAGAGGCATTGTTCATGAGACTCCAACGCCGCGATTCAGCGGACTCTTGCTGTCTTAAACCCTCAATATCGTGCTTGAGCGCATTTTTTTTTTTTTTTTTTTTTTGTTTTCAACACCGCGAGTCAGCGGTACTGCTGCGCACTGGCAGTCCCAAGCCGCGCCAGAGCACCATTCCTGGGAGCTCAAACTTACTAGGGGGCCACATGTGAACCCTACCCCTACCCCCCACGATTTTTGAGGGAGAGGGTGGGGGGTAGGGGTAGGGTTCGCATGTGGCCCCCTACTTACGAGTCCTGGAAACCTATGAACCCGTTTAAGACCAATGCGCGCGGCGCTCGGGCGAGGGCCACAGTTTGAGCACCAGCCGCGCTCCATCTCTGAAGCAGTTGCAAGCTTTTACGGCGAGCGCGCGCCCCACCGACACGTCCTGGGGGTGCGACAGGGAGGAGTTATGTAGTGAGGAAAAGGGGACGGCGGAAAAGGAGGAGGAGGAGGAGGGGGAGGGGGAAGAGGAGGAGGAGGAGGAGGATGAGGAAGATGAGGAAAAGGAGGAGGAGGAGGAGGAGGAGGCGGAGGACGGGAGGAGAGGAGGAAGGGGAGGAGGAGGGGGAGGAGGAGGAGGAGGACGACGGCGAGGACGAGGAGGAGGAGGAGGTGGAGGAGGAGGAGGAGGAGGTGGAGGAGGAGGAGGAGGAGGAGGAGGAATGCGAGCTTGTGTGTGTGTGTGTGTGTGTGTGTTTGTTTGTGTGTGTGTTTGGGTGTTTGTGTTTGTGTGTGTGTGTGGTGTGTGTGTGTGTGTGTGTCCGTAGCCACCTTGGCTCGAGCCTTTGGCTCAAATTGTCCTGGCTCGAGGGGGCCGCAGCGGCTGGCGCCGCGGGGCCGTCGGTCGCCCGGTCGTCGGCTTGCCCAGGGTGGGGCCGTGAAGGAATTGTTGACGCTTCACGTATCCCCACCAGTGCTCTGTGCCCCCGTCTGCCTGTTTGGCCCGCCCTCTGGGTCGCTCTCTTCCCGCGCCCGTTTTCCCCGGTCGACGCTAAGATGCGTCTCCTCGAATTTGCTCGGCATGCTTGCATGTGCGGTCGGCTGTCGACAGTGACGGCTGGGTTCGCAAATTATCTGGCTCTCTGCCCCAGTCAGCCCGATTGACCCGCCCTCTGGACTCTTCCTTTGGGCCGCAGATCAAAAAAGTATCCCCACCAGTAACACAGAATTCCTTGGCATTTTGCCGCAGGACTGCACGTTGCTTGAGCTTCCCAGGGCGTTCCAGTTCAGTCAGCCAGCCCCCCGCTGCCGCTGCCCCAGCTGGCGCGTTTGTGAGCTGGCCCGGCCGGCTCGTGCTGCGCTCTGTTGCTTGTCGCGCCCTGTAGCTAATTAGGCTTGCCCGTTGGCCCGGACACCCTGCCCGCCGCCTGCCTCTTCGCTTGCGGCCGCGACCGGAAAAATATCCCCGCCAACCCATCCATATCCGATACCTAGGCGAAGTGTCACGATAAGGGAAGTATGCAAGCATATAAAGAAGCAAACATACACAAACATATATGGTTACCTTGTCGTTGTGGAGCGTCTTGGGGCGTGCTTGGCCCATCCAAACATGATTCGCAGGGGAGCTGTTGTCCGTCTGAGGAGGAGGAAAAGGGGCGAGCAGAAGAGCCATAATCGTTTTGAATTCCTCTCGGGGTCTCCTCGGGAGCTTTTTTGGAGGCTTCCTGGGGTGCCTGGGGGCTTCTTGGCGGGCCCAGGGTGGTCTTTGAACGTCTGGGGTGCCTCAGGGATCCTCTTGAGGCCTCTTGGGGGTCTCTTCTCAGTCTCTTGGAGGCGTCTCGGACGCCTCTTGGGGCCGTCTGGGCGCTTCTTTTGGCTTTATTGGGGCGCATTTCGGAGCCTTAGGAACGCTCTCGGAGCAATTTTGGATGACATCGATCAAACAAGGCGGGCCCCTAATTATTAGCCTTGCCCTTCGGGAACCCCTAAAGTCGCCTCTTGGAGCGCTCTTGGGCGCTCTTGGGGTGGTCTTGGGGCTCTCTTGGGCCCCTCGGGAGGCCCTCTTGGGCCACGTTGTAGTCATTTTGAAGCCTCGGAAGGCCACCGGAAGCGAAAAACAACGGGAAACCCCCACACATGTTTTCATAGGTGTTTGAAGGATTTTAATTTCTTCGGGGCCTCCTTGGGGAGCTCTTTTGGCCACTGGGAGCCGTCTTGAAGCGGTCTTGGGGCTTCTTGGGGCTTCTTGGGGGCCAGCTCGAGGCATCTTGCGCTATCTTGAGCCATCTTCGAGTCCATTTTGGGCTCTCTGAGGCCCTCTTGGAGCCAACTTGGGCCATCTTAGACGTTCCGACCGCACTCGGAACGCCCCGTCCAGGTCCAGGGGAGGGGTAGGGGGAGGGTAAAACCCTCCCCGAAGGGGAAGAAGGAAGGGGGTGGGTGGAAGAGGAAACACCCTAGACCACCTACGCCCAGAGGGCTGGCGGTATTCCCTCCCCTCACGGCCCCCCCCTCCCCGTGCCCATGGAACCCCGCTCTGCAATGCGCCGCCGCCAGCGGCGTGGGGCTGCTGGTAGGGCCGTTGCCGCAGCTGCCAGCGCCGCGCCGCCCAGCGTCGCGGCCAGGCCGCCGAGGCGCTCCGCCGGCGCCTGCGCTGCCGTCGGCTGCTCTCGCGGCGACCGCCCCGTGCGGCGCGGCTGCGGACGCGGCGGCCCGAGCCGCCGCTGCTGGCCTCGGGGCCGCCCTGGCGCCTGACGACGGTGGCCCTGCTGGCGTCACGACGTGTCGCCGCAGGTGCCGCGGCCTGCGCTGCTGGCGCGGCCGACGGCGCTGCGGCCTTGGCGCTCGCCCGCGCCGCTTCGACGGGTGCAGACGCTGGCGTCGCTGTGGCCGCCGCGGCCTTCCCTGGGGCCGCTCCGCAGGCTGCGGCCGCTGCGGCCTTCTCGGCGGCCCTGGCTGCCGCGTCCCGTTTGGTCGCGGATGCTGCCGCTGCCGCTGAGGCCGCTGGAGCGGCCGGGTTGGTGGCTGCTGGGGTGTCTGGAGCGGCTTGTGCTGCCGCTGCTTACCCGTCGACGGCCTTAGGGCCGACGGGTGCGAACCTCTTCTCCGAGGCTTCCGCCACTGCCGCCGCTGCTGCGGGGGGGGCCTTCGGCGACGCCGGCGCGGCGGCTTCGGCTGCGGCCGCCAGGCCGCTGTGGTCCGCGGCTGCCGCTTGCGAAGCGGCGGCTGCCGTCAGCCTCTGGCTGGCCGCCGGCTTGCCGTGCCGGCGGCCAGTGCCGCTGCCGTTGCGGCTTGGCCGCGGGCGGCGGCGGCGCGCAGCCCGTTGGGCGCCGTGGCCGCTGCCCGCCTGGGCGCTGCTGCTGCTGATGCTGGCCCCGCCTCGGCCGCCGCCGCCGCCGCTGCCGCCGCGGCCGCCTCTCGCGGGCCGACGGCCCCAGCCGCCGCGGCTGCCACGGCCCTCCTCACCACTGACGGTGGGCCCGCCCTGGCCGCTGCGACTGCCGCCGCCGCGGCTGCCGCTGCCGCTGCCTCTGCTGGCTCTCCTCCGGCGGTGGCGGCGGCGGACGGCGCGCTGGCGGCGATTCGGCGGCCTCTGGATCGCCGCCGGCGGTCTCGGGAGAGACTGGGCGTGAGGCTTAGGCCCGCCATCGTCTGCTCAGGGGCCGCGATCGGCGCCCGCGAAAAGGGCGGGCGGGGGGGGGTGGCCGCCGGCCGTCGCGCTGCTCAGCGAAATGCTGGGATTGAAGCTGGAGGCCACCTTCAGCTGCAACGGCACCTCACTTAGCGCGTGCGAGACGAACGTGCGCAGCGAGATGCTGGCTGCGAAGCTGGGCCCCATCATCATCTGACAGAACGCCCCGATCAGTGCGTGCAAGACGGATGGCAGGGGCAGCGGCCGCGGGCCCTCGCGCCGCTCCGAGAGACTGTGGGACTGAAGCTCGGGCCCGCCGCCATTTGCCCTGGCGCCCTGATCAGCGCGTGCGAGAAGGACAGGCAGGCGCAGTGGCTGGCGGCCTTGGCGCTGCGCTGCGAGATGCCGGGCGTGAAGCTGGAGCACGCCATCGGCCGCTGCAGCGCCCCCGCCAGCGCGGGCGAGAAGGGGCAGCGACGGCCGGCCCTGGCAGCGGCGGCTCGATCGCGGAGGGCGTGGAGATGCGGGGGCGCGTCGCCGACATGATGGAGGGGTCGCGGGGGGAGGGGGGGGCGTCGGGGGGGTCGACGAGGAGGCGGACTTCGGGGGGGGGTCAAGAAAGCTTTCGACGACGCCTGCGGCGAGCATTGCGAGGAGGGCGACGAGGGGGCGGCCGCGGGGGGGGGAGGGGGGCGATGAGATGAAGGAGGCCGTCGACGTGGTCGCGGAGGTGGGCGTCGACGGGGGGTTCGAGGAGGCGGCCCTGGGTGCGCGCGCCAATCCTGTCGATGCTGCGCCGCCAATCCTCTCGATCCCGCGTGGGCCGCGCCCGCCGATCTCCGGGCGAAGCGGGGTGTGGGGGGGCACTTTGGGGGCCGGGGCGGCCGGCCCTAGGTCCGCCGATGCCTCCTTTCGGTTCCAGTGGAGTCGCCGCCCAATCACGCGCGGATAAGGTCGAGGCGGGTGACGCTAGGAGCTCTGGGAGGGGCGAGGAGGACGGACGCGTCGATCCACGCTGCCCTGGCCAAGCGCTGCCCGGCGACGGCGCCCCAGACTCGAATGGGGGAGGGCCGCGCCGCCCTGCTGCTGACGGCCGCTTTGCGCCGCTGCGGTCTGCGCCGCCGTCGCCCGACCGCGACTGTCTGGGCCCGGTCCAGCGCCGCGGCGGCGGGCGGGCGGGCGTGGGCGGAGGGGGCCCCGCGAGCGAACTGGCCCAACGTCCCCAGTGGACGAGCCGCGAGGATGACGCCGCCGCCCCCCCGACCAGTCGCGGGCGCCCTGGCAAGCTCGCCGGCGCCGCCCTGGCCCGCGCCGGCCGGCGTGACCAGGGGGCCGCCGTCCCAGGCCGGAGAAGCAGACGGCCGGCCTTCAACGGGGCCGGGCGCGGACTGCACAGCGGCGGTCGATGTCGGCGCGCAATCGGAGGCCCAGGGTTCTCTCGCGCGGGATGTCTTGTCGACTGCGTTGCGGGCGGCAGACTGGCGGTCGGCGCTGCGAGCGACGTTGGCAGCGGCGCGCGGCGGACGCGCGCTCTCTGCCAGTCCCTGGGGCCCTGGGCACGCGCCGCCTGTTGCATTTAGGTCTTGCCATGTTTCGCCTGCGTTTCGCTCGCCTTCGTTCGCCTCTCCTGGCCTTTGGCCCGCGGCGTTCTCTGTCTGTCGGAGGTGGAGGTGGCGTGGCGTTCTTGCTCCCCTCCCCGGCGGTGCGTCGGCCCTTCCTCCTCTGCTTGGGTCGCGGGGTTCGCTCGGTCGTCGCCGTTGTCGGTCGCGGGCTCGGCCGTGTTGTGGGGTCCCCCGCCGTCGTCTATCGGGGCGCCCCTCCTGCCTCTGCCCCTGCCTGCCCCCCCCCCTGTCTCCTTCTTTTTCTGGATCGTCCCCGCCGCGGGGGGCCCAGTCTCTTCTGAGTTCGCTGCTGTCGGACGCTGCTGGCGCGGTGCGCCTGCATTGATGTGTTTTTCTCTTAGGCGCTGTGCAGCGTGCCCGCGTCGCCTGCTAAATCGGTTTCGCGCCGCGGGGGGGGGGGGTATTCTAATATTCGGCCATGTTGCCAGCGTTTAGTGTGTACTTGCAGCTGTAAGTATGATGGCTCTAGTTCAGCCGTTCTTCTTTCCCGCCACCAGTCTGGGCCTGTAAAGGGAATCGAACGGGGTCTAGCCAGCTGCCTTTACTTGTGCAGTGTGCTGGTCTCGCCTGCTCTGGTTCTGTTCTGTCCTTCCTCCTCCTCCTCTTTTTTTTTTTGTTCTCTCTGTCTCTCTCTCTCTCTCTCTCTCTGCGTCGGCCCCTTTCCTGGTGTAGCACGGCCCCCCCTGGACTGTGCGTGCCTGCGAGGGGCCACCCGGGCGAAGGGGGTCTGGCGTTGGTCCCACTCGCGGCGCCCAGCCGCGCCCCCGCCGCGCTGCCGCCTCCCGTGCTATGTTCGGGATGCTGCGCGAGCTTGGGCGGCGGGGGCTGCGAGTCAACCCGTGCGGGAGATCGGCCTCGCTGATCCCACAGCGGCTCTCGCGAAACCCCCCCGCCGCCCCGCTCTGCTCCGGCTCCTGGCGCCCTCGTCTTCAGGGCCTCCCGTGCCGCTCGCGTTTGGTCGGGGTTCCTGGCTCCGTGTGGTCGGGCCTGCTGGGGTGGTGTCCTTGCGTTCGCCACCGCCGAGGTCAATCGCACGTAATGCGTTTTCCATGTTCGGCTCTGAGGCTCCACAGCTGGGATTTCCGCGATCTTCGCGGCGCCCTCCGCGTCTTGTCCGGAACGTCCTTGGTCGGTTCGGTGGCGACCTGGACGTCGGTGCGTACAGTGTTTCTCGCGTCTTTTCTTGTGTTGATTTCACGGCACCCCACCAATCTATCTCGGCCGGTGCCTCCACTGCAGATGTTTTCGGCCAGCCTGGACGTGTCACTGACGCTAGCCTCTGTTGGTGTCGTCATTGTCCACCGCGGATTTTACGGCATAACGAATTCGGGTGGTTTCGGCTTCGCGTGCGTTGCTCCTACGCGTGTTGCGCGCATCGTCAGCGCCAATACATGTCGTCACAGCGTCCGCTTTCCGCGACGTTTCTTTATGATCGGGTGGCGTTGTGTGGTGCTGCCGTGCATTTTGGGTCTAGCATTTCACTGTTTGTTGTTATTGCATCCTGCGTTGCCGGTTAGTAGGTTAATTCCTTACCCATCAGTTTCGCCAGCCCATGTCTTTCCTACTGCCACCCCACTAATCAGGTCGGGGGCGTTGCTTCGCCGCGCAGGCTTCCTGTTGTATGCACCGCCCCACGTTGGCTGGAGTGGCAGCTTTACAGTTTTGTTCCGTCATTGTGCGTTCGACCAAGTTCGTTCGCGATGGGCACATCCACTTGACGACCGCGCCTGGGGCTCCCCTGCGCCGCCGGCTCAAAAGTGTGTGTGTGTGTGTGTGTGTGGTGTGTGTTTGTTTGTGTGTGTGTGTGTGTGTTTGTTTGTTTGTTTGTTTGTTTGTTTGTTTGTTTGTGTGTGTGTGTGTGTGCCACTGGCTTGCCCAAAGAGGGAGGGCGGGCCAAGCCGAGGGAGGCGCGAGTAGACCCTGCGCCCCAGCCCTGCGCTCGCCGGCGGCGGCGGCTCCGGCCGCCCAGACGACCCGCAGCTGGGCCAGCAGCGTGGCCCTCAAGCAGGTGGCCCTCGCCGGCGCTGTGGGCGACGGCCCCGCCGCGCTCCTCGTGGGCTTGCCAGGGCCCTCCTTGCCCCCCCGGGGCCAGCGTGGCTTGGCGCAGGCCGTGGGCTAGGCGGAGGCCCCGCCCGGCAAGAGGCCGCCCCTCTCGAGAGCGCCG